TCTGTTCCAGTTACATTGGCCTTGTCCCCAGAGATACTAAGTAGTTCTACTTCAAGACTTTTGGGCTTGCAATTCCTTCCTCCTGGAATACTTTCTCCCAGATTTTTATATTGCTCACTCCCTCAGGTAGCTGCTCAAATATTAAGATGCCTTCTCCATCTAAAATAGCATACCTCCAACACACATATCCTCATTCATTAGTCCCTTGCCCCATTTTTTCTTTATAGCACTTTTCACCATTGACATTATATGATTTATTGCCTTTCTCTCCAAACTGGAATGTAGCTCCCAAGCACAAGGATTTCATTTTGGTCACTCCTGTAGTGTCAGCACCTGGAACACCACCTGGTATTGGTAGGGCTTAGTAAATATTTGCTGGATAAATTCTGCATTAAAAAACATAATTTCTTCTTTTTCCGAGGACTGTTGAGAACTTTAACTTACTATGTTTTTTTTTTTTTTCCATAGTATGAACCTAACATTTCCTACTCCCATCCTTTCTTGATCCTGATTTTCTCATTAGGCCACCACTCACTTTAGAAGGATGAAATTTGGACTTTTAGAAAGAAACATAAAGTTCTTATTGAAAAGTAAAGGATAAACATGCACAACAAAAACGCTGACGTTGTTTTCAAATGGAAGGGTTAAGTACTATGTAAACTAAATTCTAGAAGAAATAGCCATGTTTTTCTAACATTCAGTTTTTAACACATCTACTTATAAAAATCTGTGATTTCATATTAAGTGATGAATGGGTACAACTTTATGATACAATTTTTTTCTTTTTTCTTTTTCAGGTTAATGACACCAGAGAGTGAGATCAGATTTGTCCATAAGGAGATGGGCATAATACCAAGCTGGGGTGGCACTACCCGGCTGGTTGAAATAATTGGCAGTAGACAAGCTCTCAAAGTATTAAGTGGGGCCATCAAACTGGATTCAAAACAAGCTCTAAACATAGGAATGGTCGAAGATGTCTTGCAATCTTCAGATGAAACTAAATCTCTAGAAGAGGCTCAAGAGTGGCTAAAGCAATTTATCAAAGGGCCACCAGAAGTAATTAGAGCTTTGAAAAAATCTGTTTGTTCAGGCAAAGAGCTATATTTAGAGGAGGCATTACAGAATGAAAGAGATCTTTTAGGAACACTTTGGGGTGGACCTGTAAATTTAGAGGCTATTGCTAAGAAAGGAAAATTTAATAAATAGTTTTTAAAAATGTGGACAAACTATAAAGCTCCAATGATATGTGTTAACATTAAATGGTATTAAATGTGAACATCAGAATTACTTTGAAGGCTACTACTAATATTCTGATTGTTTTTAATAATATTTTGCAACATTTTCTTCTAAAATTCTTATGGTTTCATGTCTTAGGTTTAAGTCTGCTATCCATCTTGAAATAATTT